CGATCCCATGCATTCATACAATACATTTTGCATTATTCCATTCTTTTTAGTGCTTACAACTGCTAAATAAGCCACGATAGGCCCAAAGAAAGCTCGTAGTGCCAGCCCATTGGTAAAGAAGGTGAGAAACACTACAGAATTCAAGAAAGACATCATTGCAAAATATGAAAATGGAGTACGTGTGGCAGAGCTTGCCAGGTTGTATAACAAACCCCATACAACCATCGCTTCCATCATGGCCAAGAAAAAGGAAACCAAGGAAGCTGTTGTTGTGAAAGGTGCAAATATGCTCACAAAACAGAGATCGCAAATACTCGAAGATGTGGAGACTTTGTTGTTGGTGTGGATCAACGAGAAACAATTATCAGGAGATAGTATTATGCAGTCGATAATTTGTGAAAAGGCAAGGCAGTTGCATGGTGATCTCATTAAGAAAAATGCCTGGAACTAGTGCTGACATTAGTGAATTTAAGGCCAGCAAAGGCTGGTTTGAGAGATTTAAAAAGCGTAGTGGTATACACAGTGTGGTAAGGCATGGCGAGGCTGCCAGTTCTGATAAATATGTGGCTGAATAATATGTTCAGGAATTCAAGGGGTACATAGAGGCTGAACAATTCAAACCCTAAGTGTTCAATTGTGATGAGACAGGCCTCTTTTGGAAGAAAATGCCAAACAGGATCTACATCACACAGGAGGAAAAGGCACTCCCAGGACACAAGCCTATGAAAGACAGGCTAACTTTCATGCTAGTGTGGATTTCAAAGTGAAGCCTTTACTGGTGTATCACTCTGAAAATCCCAGTGTGTTCAAGAAAAACAGTGTCGCCAAGAGTAACTTGTGTGTGATGTGGAAGGCAAACAGTAAGGCATAGGTTACGACGGACATTTTCCTTGACTGGCTCAATGAAGTGTTTGGCCCCAGTGTGAAGAAATTCCTCCTGGAAAATAAATTGGAACTCATGTGCCTCCTGGTAATGGACAATGCTCCTGCTCATCCTCCAGACTTGGAAGAGCAAATGGTGAAAGAGTTTCGTTTCATCACAGCAAAGTTCTTGCCCCCTAATACCACTCCGCTCATCCAGCCCATGGACCAGCAGGTCATTTCAAACTTCATAAAAACTGTACACCAAAGCAATGTTTCAAAGGTGCTTTGATGTGACCTCAGACACCCAGTTGATCCTAAGAGAGTTCTGGAAAGATCACTTCAGTATCCTCCATTGCATAAACCTTATAGGTAAGGCTTGGGAGTGACTTCCAGGACTTTAAACTTTGCTTGGAGAAAATTGTGGCCAGAATGTGGAGGGAGGGGGATTTTGAAGGGTATGGGGAAAGTATTGTGGCATTGGGGAATTCCATGGGGTTGGATGTGAGTGGCAAAGATGTGGAAGAGTTGGTGGAGGACCACAATGAAGAGCTAACCACTGAAGAGCTGCAAGGCCTTCATCTGCAACAGCAACAGACCTTAGCTCAGAAAATTGCTTCAGAGGAGGAGGAAGAGAGATGGAAGAAGGTGCCTTCTATAAAGATTAAGGACATTTGTGCTAAGTGGAGAGAGGTCGTGTTGGCAACATGTACAATGACAACGTCGTGTCCCATTTTAGGGAAATCTTAAAGAAACGCCAGATACAGAGCACTGTGGAACAATTTTTTGAGTGACAGGGGTCCAGTGACTCTCAAGCTGGTCCTAGTGGCTTTAAAAAACAAACAAGGGAAGTAACCCCAGAAAAGGACTTGGTACCCAAAGTCTTTATGGAAGGTGATTCCCCTTCCAAACAATAGTAACTCCTCCATCCTTTCCCCTCCTCCTGTCTTCCATACATCAACAAGTCTTCAATAAAGGTAAGTGTCATGATATTATTGTTTAATTCTTCATGTCTCATTGTTTTCTGTGTAGGTAAAAAAATTTTTTTCTTTAATACTTTTGGGTGTCTGGAACAGATAAATTGGATTTACATTATTTCTTATGGGAAAAATGAATTCAGATGTCATCAGATTCAGGTTTAGTCACACTCTCTGGAATGGATTAATTACATTAACCGAGGGTCCACTGTATAAGCATTCTAAAGTTTTATAAGTTTCAGGTCAATATGTGGGAGCAAGGGGCTAGCTTTTCCTGTATACATTACTTAAGCTTGTTGAAAGGAGGAGGTCAATATGTAGAGGTTATACCACATTGCAGTACATAAACCAGTATAGATTTGTCTTCAGGATTAATTACTAAAATAAGTTAACATCACATGGCACTGTGACCAGTTTCTAGGGTCCTTCTATCCTCTCACCCCAGCCTGAGGCCAGATTTCATTTTGACTGCCTGGTCAACCAGGCTGTTGCTTTACCTAATGAAGATACCTAAAGAGCCTTCCTCCAGTTTTGAAAACTTCTCAACCAAGTTGTTACAGAGATAAGTTCATAGTATGCATGTCCATTATAAATCATCAATCATTATCCCTGATGAGCATCATTTTCAAGAGTGGTTTATGAACTTTATTTTTTATTATTATCACACTGGCCGATTCCCACCAAGGCAGGGTGGCCCGAAAAAGAAAAACTTTCACCATCATTCACTCCATCACTGTCTTGCCAGAAGGGTGCCTTACACTACAGTTTTTAAACTGCAACATTAACACCCCTCCTTCAGAGTGCAGGCACTGTACTTCCCATCTCCAGGACTCAAGTCTGGCTTGCCGGTTTCCCTGAACCCCTTCATAAATGTTACTTTGCTCACACTCCAACAGCACGTCAAGTATTAAAAACCATTTGTCTCCATTCACTCCTATCAAACACGCTCACGCATGCCTGCTGGAAGTCCAAGCCCCTCGCACACAAAACCTCCTTTACCCCCTCCCTCAACCTTTCCTAGGCCGACCCCTACCCCGCCTTCCTTCCACTACAGACTGATACACTCTTGAAGTCATTCTGTTTCGCTCCATTCTCTCTACATGTCCGAACCACCTCAACAACCCTTCCTCAGCCCTCTGGACAACAGTTTTGGTAATCCCGCACCTCCTCCTAACTTCCAAACTACGAATTCTCTGCATTATATTCACACCACACATTGCCCTCAGACATGACATCTCCACTGCCTCCAGCCTTCTCCTCGCTGCAACATTCATCACCCATGCTTCACACCCATACAAGAGCGTTGGTTAAAACTATACTCTCATACATTCCCCTCTTTGCCTCCAAGGACAAAGTTCTTTGTCTCCACAGACTCCTAAGTGCACCGCTCACCCTTTTCCCCTCATCAATTCTATGATTCACCTCATCTTTCATAGACCCATCTGCTGATATGTCCACTCCCAAATATCTGAATACATTCACCTCCTCCATACTCTCTCCCTCCAATCTGATATCCAATCTTTCATCACCTAATCTTTTTGTTATCCTCATAACCTTACTCATTCCTGTATTCACTTTCAATTTTCTTCTTTTGCACACCCTACCAAATTCATCCACCAATCTCTGCAACTTCTCTTCAGAATCTCACAAGAGCACAGTGTCATCAGCAAAGAGCAACTGTGACAACTCCCACTTTATGTGTGATTCTTTATCTTTTAACTCAATGCCTCTTGCCAAGACCCTCGCATTTACTTCTCTTACAACCCCATCTATAAATATATTAAACAACCACGGTGACATCACACATCCTTGTCTAAGGCCTACTTTTACTGGGAAATAATTTCCCTCTTTCCTACACACACTAACTTGAGCCTCACTATCCTCGTAAAAACTCTTCACTGCTTTCAGTAACCTACCTCCTACACCATACACCTGCAACATCTGCCACATTGCCCCCTATCCACCCTGTCATACGCCTTATCCAAAATCCATAAATGCCACAAAGACCTCTTTAGCCTTATCTAAATACTGTTCACTTATATGTTTCACTGTAAACACCTGGTCCACACACCCTACCTTTCCTAAAGCCTCCTTGTTCATCTGCTATCCTATTCTCGTCTTACTCTTAATTCTTTCAATAATAACTCTACCATACACTTTACCAGGTATACTCAACAGACTTATCTCCCTATATTTTTGCACTCTCTTTTATTCCCTTTGCCTTTATACAAAGGAACTATGCATGCTCTCTGCCAATCCCTAGGTACCTTACCCTCTTCCATACATTTATTAAATAATTGCACCAACCACTCCAAAACTATATCCCCACCTGCTTTTAACATTTCTATCTTTATCCCATCAATCCCGGCTGCCTTACCCCCTTTCATTTTACCTACTGCCTCACGAACTTCCCCCACACTCACAACTGGCTCTTCCTCACTCCTACAAGATGTTATTCCTCCTTGCCCTATACACGAAATCACAGCTTCCCTATCTTCATCAACATTTAACAATTCCTCAAAATATTCCCTCCATCTTCCCAATACCTCTAACTCTATTTAATAACTCTCCTCTCCTATTTTTAACTGACAAATCCATTTGTTCTCTAGGCTTTCTTAACTTGTTAATCTCACTCCAAAACTTTTTCTTATTTTCAACAAAATTTGTTGATAACATTTCACCCACTCTCTCATTTGCTCTCTTTTTACATTGCTTCACCACTCTCTTAACCTCTCTCTTTTTCTCCATATACTCTTCCCTCCTTGCATCACTTCTACTTTGTAAAAACTTCTCATATGCTAACTTTTTCTCCCTTACTACTCTCTTTACATCATCATTCCACCAATCGCTCCTCTTCCTTCCCGTACCCACTTTCCTGTAACCACAAACTTCTGCTGAACACTCTAACACTACATTTTTAAACCTACCCCATACCTCTTAGACCCCATTGCCTATGCTCTCATTAGCCCATCTATCCTCCAATAGCTGTTTATATCTTACCCTAACTGCCTCCTCTTTTAGTTTATAAACCTTCACCTCTCTCTTCCCTGATGCTTCTATTCTCCTTGTACTTATAATAATATAATACTTGTACTTATTCTCCTTGTACTTATAATAATAAAATTCTACCTTTTACTTATAATAATAAAATACCCTACTTGCCTGTTTTGTATTATGATGTGCAACAAGCCGAGGCATATGAGATGCAAACCCAACCACCAAATGTCTTGCCATTGGAGAAAGACTGACACAAATGGTATTGGGTGCGAAGATGTAGCTGTACAGGAGCTGACCAAATGAATGACCTTCTAAACTGTAGACTCCTGGAAAAAGGCACAACAGTCACAATTTACACCAGATTCTAAGAAAGATTATGAATATGCTACAGATATAAATAGCTGTATCATGCATCTTAATGTTATCAGAATGAGATGAGCAATAATAAATTTGAGGCAATAAAAGAAAGCACAGTATAGCGCAGTACTGAATGTTATCAATGTTGTGCCAGTCAATCACACGAACAATACATCACAAAACTGTGACAAACAATTCATAACTATCCCACAAACTGGAAATGAAACTAGATAATATTTCGGTATCTCCTAGGACTATTATAACTCATGTTTTGATAACGATCCACGACAGACCAAGAGGTCACCTAGTTTTGGAGATCTGTGGATCAGATTTGAGGTAACCATATTTAAACATGGAACACAGCTTGGTAGATACAGAAAATATAAGGGCTTCCAAGAGATACTCACCAACCATGGTCATGGCTTGACTCTCAGGAACTAGGGCAGCTAACATGGTGCCATCAGAGGAAATGTCAACACTGGCATCATTGTGTATTTTGCATTTTCCCACCACCACATTTGCATTCCCTGGAAATAAATGTACAAGTTTCATGCATTTCATTTTTATACCCAAGTGGTTTTTCAGTGTTCATATATACTGTCCAGTACATTTTAACTGATAAATTAGACACATGTGCAACACTTGGGTATCTTTATTGAGGAAAGTCTCGCCACACAGTGGCTTCATCAGTCCATACAAAGGACAACATTGAATAACAGGAGTAGTTTGAGGTAACCAGTCCCTCAGCCTTGAGTCGATGTAGTCAGTCCATCAATCTTGAAAAGAATACAGCATATGTGCATAGAAGTAGTTTATATACTGTAGGTAGGAGAGGTGCAGCAGTCGTAGGTGGTATCACATTTGTCCAATGTGGAAGTAGGTCATGCCCAAGGGTTAGGCAAGTGAAGATTTCCCTGTATTAAGAGCCCAAGATGTTGCTGTGTCAACTTGTCAGTTCTCTGAACCATTCATCTACATTCCTGTCTGATACAGCAACATCTTGGGATCTTAATACAGGGAATTCTTCACTTGCCTAACCCTTGGGCATGACCTACTTCCACATTGGACAAATGTGATACCACCTACGACTGCTACACATCCCCTGCCTACGGTATATAAGCTACTTCTACTCACATATGCTGTATTCTTTTCAAGATTGATGGACTGACCACATCGACTCAAGGCTGAGGGACTGATTACCTCAAACTCCTCCTGTTCTTCAATGTTCTCCTCTGTATGGACTGATGAAGCTACTGTGTGGCAAAACGTTTCCTCAATAAAGATACCCAAGTGTTGCACACGTGTCTAATTTATCAACTTGTCAGTTCTCTGAACCATTCATCTACATTTTTAACTACACTATACATGAATAAATCAGCAAATTATTGCAGCTAAAAATCTCTATCGCTGTTATTATTTTGAACAGTACATTTTTAATTACAATATATAGGAATAATTGAGGTAGGTAGTAGGTTGGTAGACAGCAACCGCCCAGGGAGGTACTACCGTCCTGCCAAGTGAGTGTAAAACGAAAGCCTGTAATTGTTTTACATGATGGTAGCATTGCTGGTGTCCTTTTTTCTGTGTCATGAACATGCAAAATTTCAGGTATGTCTTGCTACTTCTACTTACACTTAGGTTACACTTCACTTGCACGTACAAGCATATATAAACACACCCCTCTGGGTTTTCTTCTATTTTCTTTCTAGTTTTTATTCTTGTTTATTTCCTCTTATCTCCATGGGGAAGTGAAACAGAATTCTTCCTCCGTAAGCCATGCGTGTTGTAAGAGGCGACTAAAATGCCAGGAGCAAGGGGCTAGTAACCTCTTCTCCTGTATATATTACTAAATGTAAAAGGAGAAACTTTCGTTTTTCCTTTTGGGCCACCCCGCCTCGGTGGGATACGGCCGGTGTGTTGAAAGAAAGGACTGCTTGTGTCTTTTTTCTGTCTCATAAACATGCAAGTTTTCAGGTACGTCTTGCTACTTCTACTTACACTTAGGTTACACTTCACTTGCATGTACAAGCATATATAAACACACCCCTCTGGGTTTTCTCTATTTTCTTACTAATTCTTGTTTATTTCTTCTTATCTCCATGAGAAAGTGGCACAGAATTCTTCCTCCATAAGCCATGCATGTTGTAAGAGGCAACTAACATGCTGGGAGCAATGGGCGAGTAACTCCTTTTCCTGTATACATTACTAAAGTTCAAAAGAGAGACTTATGTTATTCATTTTGGGCTACCCTTCCTTGGTGGGATAGGGCCAGTTTGTTGAAAGAAGGAATAATTAAGCAAAATACAAAGAAGGAAATGTATGAAAGTATAGTAGTACCAACACTCTTATATGGGTGTGAAGCTTGGGTTGTGAATGCAGCAGCGAGGAGGCGGTTGGAGGCAGTGGAGATGTCCTGCCTAAGGGCAATGTGTGGTGTAAATATTATGCAGAAAATTCGGAGTGTGGAAATTAGAAGAAGGTGTGGAGTTAATAAAAGTATTAGTCAGAGTGCTGAAGAGGGGTTGTTGAGGTGGTTTGGTCATTTAGACAGAATGGATCAAAGTAGAATGACACATGGAGAGCGTATAAATCTGTAGGGGAAGGAAGGAGGGGTAGGGGTCGTCCTCGAAAAGGTTGGAAGGAAGGGGTTAGGGAGGTTTTGTGGGCGATGGACTTGGACTTCCAGGAGGCGTGCATGAGCGTGTTCGATAGGAGTGAATGGAGACAAATGGTATTTGGGACCTGACGATCTGTTGGAGTGTGAGCAGGGCAATATTTAGTGAAGGGCTTCAGGGAAACCGGTTATTTTTATATAGCCGGACGTGAGTCCTGGAAATGGGAAGTACAATGCCTGCACTCTAAAGGAGGGGTTTGGGATATTGGCAGTTTGGAGGGATATGTTGTGTATCTTTATATGTATATGCTTCTAAACTGTTGTGTTCTGAGCACCTCTACAAAAACAGTGATTATGTGTGAGTGAGGTGAAAGTGTTGAATGATGATGAAAGTATTTTCTTTTTGCGGATTTTCTTTCTTTTTGGGTCACCCTGCCTCGGTGGGAGACGGCCGACTTGTTCAAAAAAAAAAAAAAAAAATAGTTAAAAATCTCAATCATTAATTATCATGGGAAGTGTTAAACCCATAGGATTCAAACAGCACTTGGGAAATAGGTGGTTATAATATTTGTCCCTTTTTATTATTTTTTAACACACCAGCCATCTTCCACCAAGGCAGGATGACCCAATAAAAGAGAAACAAAAGTTTATTTCTCTTTTTACAATTAATAATTTATACAGGAAGGTGGGTGTAGGAAAGAGGAGTGATTGATGGAATGATGAAGTGAAGGGAGTGATAAAAGAGAAAAAAGTAGCTTATGAGAGGTTTTTACAAAGCATAAGTGTTATAAGAAGAGAAGAGTATATGGAGAGTAAAAGAAAGGTGAAGAGAGTGGTGAGAGAGTGCAAAAGGAGAGCAGATGATAGTGTGAGAGAGGCACTGTCAAGAAATTTTGATGACAATAAGAAAAAGTTTAGGAGTGAGATAAAGAAGTTAAGAAAGCCTAGGGAACGAATGGATTTGTCAGTTAAAAACAGAGTAAGGGAGTTAGTAGATGGGGGGTTGGAGGTACTGAGTAGATGGCGGGAATATTTTGAGGAACTTTTAAGTGTCGATGAAGAAAGGGAGGCAGTAATTTCATGCACTGGCCAGGGAGGTATAACATCTTTCAGGAGTGAAGAAGAGCGAGATGTGAGTGTGGGGGAGGTGTGAGGTATTACATAAAATGAAAGGGGGTAAAGCAGCTGGAAATGACAGGATCATGACAGAAATGTTAAAAGCAGGGGAGGGGGGATACAGTGTTGGAATGGTTGGTATTTTTGTCTAATAAATGTATGGGATTGGCAGAGAGTATGTATAGTTCCTTTACATAAAGGAAAGGGGGACAAGAGAGATTGTAAAAATTATAGGGGAAAAAGTTTACTGCATTATAGGTAGTAGGTTGGTAGACAGCAATCACCCAGGGAGGTACAACCGTCCTGCCAAGTGAGTGTAAAACGAAAGCCTGTAATTGTTTTACATGATGGTAGGATTGCTGGTGTCTTTTTTTTCTGTCTCATGAACATGCAAGGTTCCAGGTACGTCTTGCTACTTCTACTTACACTTAGGTCACACTACACATACATGTACAAGCATATATATACACACCCCTCTGGGTTTTCTTTCTAGTTCTTGTCCTTGTTTATCTCCTCTTACCTCCATGGGGAAATGGAACAGAATTCTTCCTCCGTAAGCCATGCGTGTTGTAAGAGGCGACTATAATGCCAGGAGCAAGGGGCTAGTAACCCCTCCTCCTGTATATATTACTAAATGTAAAAGGAAAAACTTTCGTTTTTCTTTTTGGGCCACCCCACCTCCGTGGGATACAGCCAGTGTGTTGAAAGAAAGAAAGAAGTTTACTGAGTTATAGGTAGTAGGTTGGTAGACAGCAATCACCCAGGGAGGTACTACTGTTCTGCCAAGTGAGTGTAAAACGAAAGCCTGTAATTGCTTTACATGATGGTAGGATTGGTGGTGTCCTTTTTTCTGTCTCATAAACATGCAAGATTTCCGGAACGTCTTGCTTCTTCTACTTACACTTAGGTCACACTACACTTACATGTACAAGCATCTATATACACACCCCTGTGGGTTTTCTTCTATTTTCTTTCTAGTTCTTGTTTATTTCCTCTTATCTCCATGGGGAAGTGGAACAGAATTCTTCCTCCGTAAGCCATGCATGTTGTAAGAGGCGACTAAAATGATGGGAGCAAGGGGCTAGATAACCCTTTCTCCTGTATAAATTACTAAATTTAAAAAGAGAAACTTTCGTTTTTCTTTTTGGGCCACCCTGCCTTGGTGGGATACGGCCAGTTTGTTGGAAAAAAAAAAAAAGTTTACTGAGTATACCAGGAAAAGTGTACGGTAGGATTATTATTGAAAGAATTAGAGGTAAGACAGAGAGTAGGATTGCAGATGCGCAAGGAGGCTTTAGAGTGGGGAGGGGATGTGCAGATCAAGTGTTTACATTAAAGCATATATATTTTTTTTTGAACAAGTCAGTTCTTAAGATATTGTGATGTTCATAAGGTATTGTGACATCTTATGTCAAAAACTACTACTATATAAATATACGTAAGAGCTTCAGACTTTGATTAAGTTTTTCATATAAATATAATATCAAGGATAAGGCTTTTAATATTTTTACCAGTCAGAGATATCTGGGATGCGGTAGTGTGTAAAGTCCCAAGCTTGGATGCGATGTGTTACCCCCGATCCTGGAGAGCCTGAAATAAAATGGCCAAATGTGAGTACTGACTGATGATAAAATCTAATCAGCCTGAAAAAAACATACACACAACTATGTCTAAAGTTCTGGAAGAGTATTGAAACATCCAGATTCAAATTTCATTACATATATAACACTACATGGGGAAAATGAATGTGTTGAAGAAATAGTGGGCATACATTTTGCACTTGAGCTGCACCTGTATAAAGCCATAATATTACTTAGATATTCTAGATCGATTGTAATACAAATGCATCATCTAACAGGCATGCAGTGCTGTAAAACATACATGCAAGTTGTGGAGTAAGGAATCACTCTCAAACTGGAGACATAAGGTTCCAGTAATAATTAAGTTAATTTGTTATTACAGGAACCATACATCCAAATAAAGTCACAACATCCCATACAAGTCACAAATCCAAGAACTTAGCCTCAAATAATGGGCATTAAGTCATAAATATACCCTGTGAATCAGTGAATCTGATGATTAAGAGGGTACAACAGAGTATGTATTCTATTGAGCTTCTCATTCAATACTTTTATATTCATTTTTAAAGATGGGTTACTGCATCAACTAATCAAAGACAATGTTTTATTCTGTTATCATACGCAGCACAGGAGTGTGAGCTCCCAAACAGTGACAACTTGTGGGTGTGGAAGATGGCAATAAAACTACAATGTTAACAATGGTTAAGAAAGAAGCAAGTAACGAGACATTGACTGCTTTAACAGAACAAAACTGGATACTATAAATGGAATGCAAATGACTACTTAAGAAATATGAGTCATATGTGACCAGTTTATTTACAGCACCCTTCTCTCACAACCCAGACTGTGGGCAGAAATCCAAAGTGGCTGCCTGATAAGCCATGCATAGAAAAAAAAAAAAATATTGTGGCTACTGCAAGGGGAATTTGATAGAAAACAAGCTCAGGAGAATATTAATGAGTTACTGAAGGGCACTGCAGAGTCTTCAAATGTACAGTTGCTGATTTGCAACTTAACCAGGAAGACAACACTAATGCCCATCCAGCAGAATCTCTGCAGCAGTTACTTGAAGGAATTAAGATAAGAAATCTGGAGTCTTCTTTACAGAATGTGATCCAGATCAATCATCTAACTGTCTGAAGACATTAAAAATGCTGTTTACTACTACAAGGAGCTATTGTATATCTTCCATTGAGGCTGAGGAACTGTAAACCTCAAGATGACTCGTCTACTTCTTCCAAATGTGGAACTAAACCCCACAAAATCTCCACTTCAACTGTTGCTTTCAAGGGTGTGGGACTGAACACATCAAAATCTCTACTCATTCAACAGTCTCCAATATGTTAGTAACAAAATCTCCATTTATTCAACTGTCTCCAACATTTCAGTCACCTCTGTATTTTTAAGAAGTGGCCTGCAGCACAGGCAAAAATGTTTCCATTACAACTTCTAAATGCAAGAATAGTGAGCAATACAAGACTGTGCCCAAAAGGAAGAGAAGTATGTTGAAGTTAACCAAAAATAGTAATACTGCATTATTAGACAAGCTTGTTAAAATGATTCATGAGTTGGTGACCAGATATCTGGCATAAATAAGTCAGCAGTGAAATGCACAGAGTGAGAAGCAGATAAAGGACAGCATGGGATCATATAAATTTTTATGCATACACATGCTTAGGTGCTACAGTTCACAGGATAAATATGGAGTGCAGAATAAATAAGTTACTTTTGTGGCATAAACCAAATCTAGCCTAACAGCTGATGCCAACAGTTTCCCTGTTTATGAGGTCCTGTCTTTTACCTGATAATGTTCTGGATGCTCCAAAATGTGGTGTAAAGTATGGTCTACTAAAGAAGTTGTCGGCTTCCCTTTCTGCTGCTCGGTCAGGTGGTGCACGCTGAAGATTAGGACGGAAAAGCATCTCTGAACCGGGCCCTCTGGGAAGTCCTATATCATAAGGAGTTAAGTGGCCTCTCCATGGAAATGGTGGGTCTGATGGATGACTTGGCCCATCCTGAACTCCATCATGGGGGCCAGGAGAATCTTCAGAGTCTGGGCTTCGTCTATCAACAGCATACTGGCGACCAAGGAGGCGAAGAGGTACCCCTGACACTGACCTTGTGCTGAAATCTGCCTGGTCACTGTGAGAAGGTCCAGGCGTAGAACCAGAAGGTGCATTCTCTTCTTCAACCTGACTCTCACTCCCATTAGGATCACTTAATGTAATACGAGGGATAACAAGAAGGGGTCTTGGAGAGCTGCTTCTGAAACTTGTGCTTCCAGTCCTCCCTGATCCTCCATTAGCATTTTGTTGTTGAGCCAGGTTCCCTGACCGTCTTAAGAAATCTGTAAGTCTTCTAGGAACATTTGTGATGGGTCTAGTACTCTCCTGAGATGGATTAGATTCTCCAGCTGCATCTCCAACACCATCATTTCTCAATTCTTCACTAGCCATACGCACTGTTTCAAGAAGTGTACTTAGATTATGTAACCCTGGTTCAAGATCCAAGGCCATAGGAGGAGGAAAATCGCCTCTTTCCCCATCCCCAGCACCGCCTGTCTCCTCATCACGGAAGGGATTAGGAAGGCGAGATATGGGTCGTTCTTCATATGATCTTTAAAAAGAAAAAGAATGATGAAAAATTGGGTAAATACAAATAAAAATCTTTAAGAATCTACAAAGCAACTATATTTTTTTTTCAACAAGTCAGCCATCTCCCACCAAGGCAGGGTGACCCAAAAAGAAAGAAAATCCCCAAAAAGAAAATACTTTCATCATTCAACACTTTCACCTCATTCATACATAATCACTGTTTTTGCAGAAGCACCCATATACAACAGTTTAGAAGCATACATAAAGATATATAACATATCCCTCCAAACTGCCAATATCCCAAACCCCTCCTTTAAAGTGCAGGCATTGTACTTCCCATTTCCAGAACTCAAGTCCAGCTATATAAAAATAACCGGTTTCCCTGAATCCCCTCACTAAATATTACCCTGCTCACACTCCAACGGCTCGTCAGGTCCCAAAAACCATTCATCTCCATTCACTCCTATCTAACACGCTCACGCACACTTGCTGGAAGTCCAAGCCCCTTGTCCACAAAACCTCCTTTACCCCCTCCCTCCAACCTTCTCAAGGAAAACACCTACCCCACCTTCCTTCCCCTACAAATTTATATGCTCTCCATGTCATTCTTTGATCCATTATCTCTAAATGACCGAACCACCTCAACAACCCCTCTTCAGCCCTCTGACTAATACTTTTATTAACTCCACACCTCCTGATTTCCACACTACAAATTCTCTGCATAATATTTACACCACACAATGCCCTTAGACATGACATCACTGCCTCCAACTGCCTCCTCGCTGCAGCATTTACAACCCACCCTTCACTTCGCGCCTACATATACCCGTCCTGCTCTACTTCTCGTCAGTGTGACTTTGTAAATGGTCTAAGTCGGACTGAAATGTCATCATAAGCTCCTCTCTTCTATGTGCAGGTTATTTGTGTATTGTGTAAGAGTATTGGTACCACTATACTTTCATACATTCCCTTCTTTGCCTCCATAGATAACATTTTTTGTCTCCATATATACCTCAACGCACCACTCGCCTTTTTTCCTTCATCAATCCTATGGTTAACCCCATCCTTCATAAACCCATCTGCTGGCACGTCAACTCCCAAATATCTGAAAACATTCACTTCCTCCATACTCCCTCTCTCCAATGTGATATCCAATTTTTCTTTATCTAAATCATTTGGTACCTTCATCACCTTACTCTTATCTACAGTAAGGCCCGCTTTACGGCGTTCCACTAATACGGCAATGTCAAATTATGACCAAAATTTGCTATACGGCAAGCGGTCTTTCAAATACGGCGCCCCCCACCCGGTTTGTTTACATTTTCCATGACCTCATCTATTACGTCAGGAAACTTTCCAAAATTTCAAGTGTTTTAAAGTTACTACATATTTTATATGTACTCTGATGATTACACTTAAGTTTACCTGTACCTAAATATACTTACACACAGTGCTGGTGTGCAGGTACACATTAAAATCACTAAGTCTCTCTCTACTCATGACGCCAATACTACGTAATAATAATCACTCTTGGGCACACTAAATGTCTTATTTTACATTAATATAGACATTTTCATTAATCCATCTATGATATTTTCCTCAAAATTATATATGAAACCCATTATATAGCATATAAACATGATACATACACTCACAGAATAAAAATTGACATAAATATGAGATTTGTTTACAAAGCAGCTGTGTGGGTAGTGTCGGAAGAATTACGTTTTCTCAAGTCAAACTGGAGGATACCTGTAGAAAAATATTCTTTTCTTATGCCTTTACTCTCTCTATAGCAATTCATGACCCTTGTGGATTTAGTGCTTTTTATAATAAATAATAATAATATTATTATTATTATTAATACTAATAATAATAATAATAATAATAATATATTATTATTATTATTATTATCATTCACTCTAAAAATGGTGTGTTGCTGTTTGTTTATTCTTAACTAACTTGTACAACTTGTACACAATGTAAGAGTATTTGTATTGTGAGGTAATTATTATTATAATAAAAAAATATTGAGGTAAATGTTTTACAAACTTTTACAAATGGACGTGAATGAACTAAAAGTAGACACACATTAATACGCATTTATTTTGCCTGGCCAAGTGATCGTCCACTACCTGTTCAGTTTGTGTTCTTACATTGTCTCAACTCTGTATCTCGTTCTCTCTCTCGTTTACTCTTTCGTTAACTAGTTGGCTCTCATTGACGATGGCGTCTAAGGTTAGCTGTGATAAAAAGAGAAGTCGTAAGCCTCTTGCTTTAAGTGCCAAGCTAGAGGATGATGGTGTGCCATTCTGATTTTATTCAATAAACACCCTGCCACTCACCTCTCACACATTAATATTAATATTTTAAGGTAAGTAATAAGTGTACTCTGTGTGTATCTTACCTTTTATTGTGTTTTCAATGCCTAATTCTATTGCTAACTAATATAAGTTAGTGTAAACTTGTTGTTTGGCATTTATTGCATATTTTATATGCTCTGTTAATAATACTTGTGGAGCTGTATGGTAGCCGGGTGGAGGGACATTACGTTTTCTCTGCTCAGCTATCAGAGAAAACGTGTATGAATCTGCGTTTGGCCCAGTCACTCCCTCACTCCGCTTTTGTTTACAATTTTTGGCATGAATTATTCATTACTTCTACCTTCGTTTATGATGGCATCTAAAGGTAGTTGTTAGAAATGATTAAATTCAGTGAACAAGGCATGTCGATGTTAATAATATGGCTCTGGGCCACAGTGTAGGTAGCTGGTAGGTGTAGTCCAGGCGGGCTACACCTACCGGCTACCTACACTGACTTCCTACAAATAAATACTACTCACCTCTCTTCCTATATTAAGACTACACATATTTTAAGGTAAATAATGAGTGTACTGTATGTGTATTTTACCTCTCTGGGATGTTTTAAATATCATATATTAAGTATGAGACGGGGAGCCAGGGCTACCTACACCTGTGCTACCTGCACCTGACTTCCTACATATAAGTACTACTCACCTCTCTCCCTACATTAAGATTACAAATACTTTAAGATAAGTAATGAATTTACTGTGAATGTATTTTACTTTGTGTATTTTTAATGCCTGGTTATATTAATAACTTAATATAATTTAGTGTAAACTTGTTGTCTGGCATTTATATGCATTTATAAATGGAAAAAAAATGGCGTTCTGCCTTCCAGCGATGTCTGCTTTCTGGCGACAGCCTGGAACCTAACCCGCCATATAAGTGGGGCCCTAATGTATATTCATTTTCAACTTTCTACCTTTACACACCTTCCCAAACTCATCCACTAACAGCAGTTTCCTCCCACAAGATGGCATCTTACTATGAAAACACAGAATCACTGAATACAAGTGATAATATTATACTTTAATAACAATATTAGTTCCAAAATAAATTCAGGTATGAGAGCTCATGATTACTCAAGATACACTAGTAGCAATATATTTCTAATAGGCCTAAAGTCAAGTCCAATAAAGATATTTACTACTCCATTTGTATCTCATACATACTATATGTTTGGAGACAATCTATTTCTAGTTAAATCCAGAACAAAAACATTAAATACTTACCTCAATCTGTGATCATAAATACTGATGATGTCTCCATCTAATTCTCTATAATTACTACCGTGTTTTTGTTTCTGCTTTTAACAACATTACCTTATCTATACATATTTTTGTTTCTACTCTTAACAGCACCATCTTATATATACAGAACTTGGCTATTTTGTCTACTGTACCTCTAGTTCCCTCATTATGTCTCCTCATCTCAAACAATTCTTCTTGCTTTAACTAGATATTATTCATGCAACTACAAGTTAGTGATTGTAGTGTCATTTAGCCACATTTTTTTCAAAGCATTGACCATCTCCTACTAAGGTAAGGTGACCCGAAAAAGAAGAAACATTTTCACTGTCATTCACTTAATCACTGTCTTCAAAGAAGTGTACTGCCATCACAGCTCAGATAAGGCTCTGAACTGCAACATCCCTGTCATTCTTTCAGAGTGCAGGCAATATACTTCCCACCTCCAGAAGTCAAGTCCAGCTAACCAGTTTCTACTTCCCACCTCCTGGACTCAAATCCAGTTAACCAGTTTCCATGAATCCCTTTAGAAATGTTATCTGGTTCACTCCAACCACATGTCAAAATATAAAAACCATTTGCCTCTACTGCACTCCCATCTAACACACTCACACAAACCTGCTGGATTGCCAAGCCGCTAACACTCAAAACCTCCCTTATCCCCCTCCCTCCAACCATTCCTGGGATGACCCATATCCCAGGAGCCATATAGTACCAGAGGAATGGGAGGGAATCAGGTTTGATGTGATCAGAGGAATGGGTGGGTAACTCCAATTTCTTGGATTGTGAGCATTTCCCGGCATCAAGGTATTCCTGTAAAGTGTAAAGGATAATGATGAAACAAATGCTGAAGCTAAACATACATATTTTGGTTGCAGATGAAGTTGAGTAGCTGGTAAATGAGATGAAGTGCCAGTCGAACCAACAGCCGTAAATCTGATGGAAAATACATGCGCTTAACACATAGTCACATACAGGAGGTCACTAATTTACAAGTTATTCTTAAATATACTCTATTAATTTGTTTTGTCAAAATTTAAGTAAAGGTACACAAACATTACAGTAAGTCCTTTATGTTAAAAAATTACCATATAATTCCAAGTAATGTATGCAATATTATTGGAGAATCTTATGCATAAATCTTAAAGGTACAGCAACTATTTTAATCACTTACCATATGCCCATATCCTGAATCTTATTTTTTAACACATTGGTCATTTCCCACCAAGGAAGGGTCACACAAAGAAAACACATTCACCATCAGACATTCTCTGAGTGTCTTGCCATAAGTACACAGACAATTCAAATAACCCTCCAAACTAGAACATCCCCATCCACCTTTCAGAGTGAGCGCATTATTTTGAGACTAACTGAAACCCTGAGAGATTAAACGCTTACTTAGCATATGGTTATCCATGGAGCTTCCAGCACCATCCTGCTCAGCCTCAGAGGCATCTGTTGTATGCTGGTCTTGCTGATTTTGTTGATGCTGGTGCTGCTGGTGCTCTTGCTCCTGACTGACCAGACTGTTAAGGCGATCTGCCATCCGCTGTAATATCTGCCTGAAAAGAGTATGAGATATCCTTAGGTTATTGAAAAGGAGACGCACAATGAGCTTTATCAAGTTACAAACAGATCTGTTTGTGGCTTGATAAAACCTATTGTGTGGGCGAATAAAGGATCAATCACATCATACTGCAATGGTGTCTCGTTTTCCATGTGTCAGTATGTTATACCATTTATCTTCATACTAAAGTTTTACACCTATAAAAAGATGACTCCATAAAGGATAATCATTAAAATCTGAAGTAAAGATTGGGCCCAAGAAGAGAAAGCCAAACCCATAAATGCAATTTCACCAAACTGATATACAAATTGGAGATGCAAGCCTGTGTGATAGGAAAAGCACCAAAAAGACAGAAGAACGTCAAGCCAGGGTGGAGAAAACACTGCATTAGACAAAAGTTACAATGTCCCCAAAAGACTATGATATTACTAAAATCAGTATAATTTCTGAAGTATGTACATGACCTACCAGTAGGAATCAACACCAAAAGATGCAAAGCTGATGATACACACAAAAAAATGTAAGAGGACCTTGATGAACTGCAGGAATGATCAAGCAGGTGTTGGATTTTAACCCAGTATGTACAAAATATAAATGAAATGTTTCTCTCACATGTGTCATGTGAGAGAGAAACAGCTTCTGACATTGGAAAAATAAAGACCTGGGTGTACAAATTACACCTGACCTCTGCCACGTTTAAGTAGTGCCTTCAAGAACTTTAATAAGAAATTGCTTAGAACACAGTACACCACATTCTTCCAGATAATCCTAGAATATGCATCACTAGTGTGAGGATGTGAATTAGTTATTAAGCAACATACCTGTAACGATCCCGTCTCTCACGACGAAAACCCTCCCTCAAAAATACCCTCTCAGCTGCTATACTTCGAGACCTTAGTGCAGCCATGGGCAACCGAACAGGGTCCCTGGTGTTTCCAAGTGTGCGACCAGTTACCATCTCTCTCCGTGTAGTGAAAATATCTGGTCTTAAACGATGTCTTGCACTGTACCACTGACTAGAATTATCTGGGAAAAACAAAATTTTAATATTATATTGAGACATCCAAAATTTATTAAAAGCACAATATATATTTTTGACCCCACCAGTAATCTCCCACCAAGGTAGGGCGACCCAGAAAAGAAAACATCATTAATAGATGCCTTCACAGAAGTGCGCCAACATCAACATTCAAATGCCCTTCTGAACTAACTTCTCCACCTCTACTCAGAGTGCAGACACTCTATTTCCCACCTCCAGGACAAGTCTAGCTAACCAGTTTCCCTGAATCCCTTCAAAAATATTACCTTACTCACACTTCAACAGCAGGTCAAATTACTAAAACTACTTGTTTCTATTCACACTGGATAACATGCTCACACATGCCTGCTGAATGTTTCAGCCTCTACCACTTATAACCTTCACATCCTCCAACCCCTACCTCTTCTTCCTTCCACCCAGATTTATACACCTTAGTCATCCTATTCTACTGTGTTTTCTCTAAATGCCCAGATCCTTTAAACAAGCCCACCCATGCCCCATGAATAATGCCTCTCGTAACCCAACACAGCACACTGTTCTCAAACATGACAGTATCATGGTTTCCAATTTCCTCTTTGCTGTAACATTTAAAATCCATATTAGAGAGTTAATACCATTATACTTTACAATGGGATATTCTTCTTTTTAGATTCAATAAATTACTTTCTCCCCACAGATACCTTAACACTCCACCTACATTTTTCCTTTCATCTATTCTATGATCCTTCTCATCTTTTACAGACCCTGTGCCAACGTGTCCACTAAACTAATATCTTAGCGCCTCTGCAAAGACAGTGACTATGTATGAGAAAGGTGAAAGTGTTGAATGATGATGAAAATATTATCTTTTTGGGGATTTTCTTTCTTTTTGGCTCACCCTGCCCCAGTGGGAGACGACCGACGCATTAAAAAAAAAAATTCACCATAAAATTGATGAAGGAAAAAGGTGGGTGGTGCATCGAGGTAAATGTGGAGACAAAGAACGTTATCCATGGAGGCAAAGAAGGGAATGTACGATAGTATTGTGGTACCAACACTTCTTACATGGATGTGAAGCATGGGTTGTAAATGCTGCAGCGAAGAGGCGGCTGGAGGCAGTGGAGATGTCAT